AACATGTTTACAGCCTGGTACCAAAACATGTTTTTTGTTTAAATTATCTAGTTTACACTCATGACAACTCTGAGGGGGGTGAATTTTTTTCTCACTCTTCTGTTTAAGTGTATTAAAAGCCTAAAATTCTGTATAATTAATGAGCATCAGACCCACGTGACCACAGAGCTAGCTCCGTGGAAAGGCCTCAGTAGAGTCTCAGCCTGGCTTGGAAACTGTTCCGGGATTTTGAGTCTGTGTTTGTGTATTCTTTTTTGGATATTTTTTGTGCAATTGTTGGACAAAATGACTTGATGTGGCATTAATTGCACTAATAGAGCGTCCAAGGAGTCTCCACTTCATTTTTTTCGGTAAGTAAAATTATATTTATGTATTTTAGGTCACTGCCGAGCTGAGCTTAGATTTTAACATGTACTGTTTAACCATGAAATTTAAATGTAACAGGGTAAAACCCAGTGCATTTAACATAATGCTGCACTTTAGAAAATGGGTTGAAATATAACATGTTGGTAGAGCTGGGTTCCCACTATCGGCTTGTGGAGCTCTCGGGAGACCGATGTTTTCCACCCGTTTCTCCCCTCCCCGCAGCTCGGCGCATCTCTGTCTGATCGTGGCTTCGGTCTGCTGCGCGGGCTGCCAGCTTATGGAGCTCTGGATGGAAACCTTTCCACCCGGTTCTCCCCAGCGGCAGCTCTGCGCATCTCAGCGGCGCTTGTCTGCTGTGCGGCTGCAGGCTTGTGGAGGTCTCGGAGACCTCTGTGTTCCACCCGGTTTTACCCAGCGGTCAGCCCGCCGTATCTCTGACTCAGAAGCTCTGGTGTAGTGCACAGTTAACTCCGGTTGTAGCTAGGTTGCTACCTCCGTTAGCTTAGCTCCCACCTCCCCGTTAGCTTTGGGTTAGCTTCAGGTTAGCTTGTAGCTAGTTCGACTGGGTGTCGTCAGTTGATCCCAGCCTTACAGCCACACCCTCAGCTCCACCTCTCTTCCCTTTTATGGAATTGTCTGGGCTTGACGCAACCTGTGACACGGTCAAAATGGCGGTGGTGGCCACCTCCCATTTTTCTTCAAAAACGCTTTATTGTAGTCTATGGAAACCCATTGTCCAATATTTATATGTCAATGATGTAGACATAGAAAGTAAGTCAACAATAGAGATCAGGAGCTGAGTGTGCAACACAAAGTTGTTTAACTCATCTTTCTTAAAGAAACTCATCACAACTTATAGAAAAAACAAAGCTTAATCTTGGAACAATTTTTGCAGCTAAATTTGATCTCTTCTTAAATTTTAATCTTTTTTTAAATCAAAACTCCCAAACAATCAGCCCTTCACGTTTCAGTAGCTCACTGCACGGCCGCTAAATAAATAACTCCAGTTAAAATCTAGAGCATCATGAAAACCTGGGGAGACAGCAGCAGGGTTGAGCATGAGAAGGTGCCGTCACTTGAAAAGGCACTTGTTTATTGTTGGACAGCATGTATTTATTTCATGCCTCCACAGATTGTGGGTAAGGGCAGAGCTGGGTTGGTTCGTGTAATTAGAGAGGTTTAGAGAGACAGCGCTCTGCCGCAGAGACCTGCTTCGCTCAGATTGTCCAACGAGCTCTGGGAGAGCCCTAAAATCACTCTCACTACCCCACCCCCCCACTCAGCTCGAAAGGAAGGGACACCTGTCTGGTCAGGCTTATTTAGTCTGACATGAAAAACTGTTATCACGAATTATAACTGGACAGACACAGTGGTGATATTTTTCCTTTTAAGCCATAGCGCCCTGTTTCCTTCTCCTGTTCCTCTTCCTTCTTCCCTGCCGGCCTTGGAGATCCCTCTGATTATGCCCCGCTAATAGGGGGTCTGCTTTTCCTGTTCGGGTTTAACAGTATGGGAGGGACGGCCACATTGCCACCCAGTGGCACCGTCGCTGGGTCACCCAAACATCTCTATTACAGCTTCAAAGGATGCATATAGCGAACAGGCACACACAAATGCACGCATAGGTTTTTTGATGTCTAATTCTTTCGGACACTGCTGGAAATCTGCAAAGTGTTGAGTGTTTTTAATGGCAGTGGCGTGTTTAAGTTCCTGCCTCCCCTGTCATAATTGCCATTTTACATGTCTATGAATAAACTCTGCTGCTTTAAAAAGGTGCCCAGTGAGGTTTACTTGAAAACTAAAATACAGTTTATCAACACAACAACCTGACGCCGACGTTTTCCACGCAGCTAAAACGGTCCTGAATCCTCTAAAAATGGCCCCCCAAAAACAAACAAACAAGTTTCAAACATGCAGAGAGGACATCTGGCAGAAACCTAAAGTCAGATCTGGACCTTTTTTTAAACCTGAATCTGCACTGATGAGTTAAATCTTTATTCGCTCTCTGTCACGATGATATGTTAGACTGTTACATGCTCCTGGACAAGGGTGGCGATGCATATTCTCATCAGTCACGTTCACCATAGCTACGGTGAGGCCCGGCTTATTTTAGAGACGGTGGTTTGTGGCCATCTCAACAAGGAAATATCTACCCTGTGGTATAGGGAGCTTCTTTAAGACACTTGGAACTTAGAATTTGAAACTATTCTGGAAGCTGAATACTTCCTGCTGGTTACTTTTACACGCTTATCCTAAAGTTGTGTAATGCCCATAGGGTATAGTTGTGCAAAGCACCTTTAACTTCCTTGCATAAAGAATACATAAGAGTTTTTACAAATTTTGTATAACATTCAGTATTTAACATCCAATCTCGAGATTAACAAGTTTTGGTGCTGGAGAATAATTTCTAGAATGTTTTATTAATTTATCTTTAAAGGTGTGGTACACTGAAAAAAACCTTTAAATCTTATTTCTGATAATAATCAGTCACTAAGTGTTTCATGCAGGCTGAACAGGAAAATAGTCTCCTACACCTATCTCCTGCATTAGCTTCTAATACAAAATAGACAGTAAAAGTCTAAGTTTAGAAAAGCCTGACAGATCTACGTCACACTGTCAATTAAAGTGACAATGTGTAGTTTTTACAATTAATCTCTGGAAATATCCATCAAAATGTTGTAGTAAATGACTTAAAAGATGCCTATAGTTCTTGAAAAATATTGGCAGTTTCATAACATATAACCATAAAATCTGTTCTAAAATAGATGGAGCGGGTCTAAGTCTCTGGGTGACGCCATATTGGATGCCATGTTTCCTTCTACAGAAGTCTGTGAGGACAAAACACATTTACTGATTTGTAACAAATGGTTAGAAAACTTTCATCAATAATAAACATTGTTGCTTTACACATTTACCTCTTCACATATTGCCAGTGATGAAAGAGAATCAGATGTTCTTGTTATTTTGCTGGAGGTTGCACTCCCAGGGATTTTTGACCCTAATGGTCACCCGTTGGTTAGGTCTTATTTGAACAAAAAAATAATGCTTGCTTGCAGTGATTTAGGTATGTACTGCCCCCTTGTGTCCAGGGAAACTACACACTGTCACATTAATGGATTTGATCAACTTGACTCATGACAGGGAAGGCTATTGTGGGTTTAGTGTCCAGGAAACAGCAGAGGACATCAGGTAAGGTAGAAGCTAACTATTAGCATTGGCAACTCCACCACACAGCCAAAGCTCCTCCAGGCTTGTTGCAGTTGAGAAGACAAAGCATCCATGTTGAAAGAGCCCCCTTCTCTCCACTGAACATGAAAGTGTTTTACCTGCAAGTTCATTCCCAGTCGGGAGCAATTCTGACGCAAAATGGGAGCGGAAGCGTTCCACACAGTTGATCCAGGGCGGTCACAAAAATTACGGGAGAATTGCAACAACACACGTGATTTCAGAAGTCCACACGATAAAAAGCAAGGAGAAAGGCATCTGCATGTATCCAAAAAGTGTGGTTTCACATTCTGTTTTGTTTACATCGGCTACGGGGGTTTCACAGGAAATGGCAAATGACCAGTAGGGCTGGGCAATAAATAAAAAATTTATCGTTATCAAAATTTCTGACTCTTGGAGTGATAATTTTTCCCATGTCAATAAATTTAATGAAAAAATTAAAAGATGTATGTAGGTTGGCAACATTCATCTCCCTTTAAGAAACTGTACAGTCTTGTCACGTAAAAATGACTCTATGTAATACATGTGACAGCCCCATCTAGTGGAAAACTTTTATTTCTTTGCACACCTGTAGCTATCGTCCATTCATCGTTATCGAGGTGAAATCCTCAATATATCGTGATATTGATTTTAGGACATATCGCCTAGCTCTAACAGCAGGTAACTTTTATTTTGAAAGTTTCCAGATGTTTTACACCGCCTTTGCGTCTGACTTTCTCAATCTGAACTGCAGTTCGACGTGTTTTGGAACCGTAGCGCGTAAAGACTAGATTTTAAATGTAATGATATCATCCCTTCGCTTGTTGGACGCATCTATTACAATCAGCAGCTAGTGGAAAGCACCCTGTCCACTAGAACAGCGGGTAATTGCAGCGTAGTACGTTCCACGGCCGTTTCGCGCTGCTTTCTGATGGAAAGAAGAGGTTGGTGGTAGAGTCGTGTTGCTGTTATCCAATCCGAGGCGAGATGTCCAAATATCAGGAAATAAAACTACGAATCTTGTCGTCTGAAGCTCAGCTGCGATGTGGCTCACTTCAAATTCCTGAAAATGGTGCGCTAGTGTTTTTCTTCCCCAGAGTACGACTTACAAAGCATTCATTCCTACTAGAGACCACTGCAAATACATTTATTAAACTAGTTTTCAACCCCTTTCAAGAACAAGTTTCAGACTAACATTACTGTGCATCAATATCAACAGAAATACACAATAACACGAGTGATTATGGGACTGAATTTACTTGTGGTGTTTTTAGAGCATCGGATGATCAGTCAAGTCCAAACTAGTTTCACATTTTAGTATTTTATGAAAGAAAGAAAAATCCACAGAGAACAAGGAGGGAGGCAGGCAGGCAGGGAGGGATATACAGAGAGGAGGGAGGAGGGGAGGACTGACTAAGGAAAGATTTCTCCTTCACACTCTCACTCTCCTCTTGCCTCTGACATTCACATTTGCTGCCTGCCAGGTGAGTGAACTTTCACCCCTTCTACTTTTCGAAAGTCATTTTAAAGAAAAATAATGAAAAACATTTGAATTAAGTCAAATGAATTCATTGTTTTCATGTGTCTCTCTGGGAAGAGAGGCCAGCCAGAGTGGAAGTGTAACAGGTGTTTTAAAGGAAGTCATGTGGGCTCAAGATGCTCTCATTCTTCATCCTTTCACAAATGTTTTTTCTGTTATTTAAATAGAAAAGTTGTGGGGAGCGGTGTTGGAATCCTGTCATAGACCAAGAATCAGTGGAATGTATTTACTTGTTGGAGGTTTCTTTGTTTCTTTTGTCATTTTATCATCAAAGCGCACGCACACACACAAGTTTTGGTGCATTTTGTACACCATGTTGTCTTGTGGCTCGCTGTGTGTTGGTGTTTTAAATAACTCCACCGCTGCACCACCGTGTTTGGCTGTGTTCAGCACCCGTTTAAACCTACCTCTTATATTTCTGTCTGGTTTAGTTCGCCTCAAGGGATGTTTATTCACGTAAACTGCCTCACAAAAAGCGTGCTGCTGTTTCTCTAATTATATGCCTGTGTTTGACATGAGAGGAAAGCATTCATCTGAGATGTGAGGCATCACTGAGACGGCTGCAGCAGCTCAGACTCAAATCAGAAAACAAGGCTTTTACCTCAATGATTGTCAGCAGATAAGTTACTAGAGCAGTTGTAACTGTCTCAGAGATAAATTATTACATTTAAGGGTTATTTTTCTAGTTAGACTTCATTACATTCATTTAGGTTATTTAACTTATTACACAACCCTTTTGACCCCAAATCTACTGTAAACCCCCACAGTTGCTTAAGTTCACTATGTGCCTCCTCCTTCACCGCCAGGACTCTTCCTCTCACCCACGATGACCCGCTCCCTCAGCTTGGGCGCCCACCTTCTTCTTCTTCTGTCCCTCAGCTGCATCGCACGCGCAGAACCGCGACGCAGCACGTCCTCCCAGCGAAGAGTGGCGCGCGCACCCGTCGCTAAGGTGCGACTGGCGGGAAACTATGTGCGAGAGGCGAACGAAGGGCGCGTGGAGGTGTTGCACAACAACACCTGGGGGACTATCTGCGATGACGAAGTGGACATTAAACTGGTTAACGTGGTGTGCAGAGAGCTGGGCTTCCGGGGGGCTGTGACGTGGGCTCACAGCGCCAAATATGGAGAGGGAACAGGTGAGAACTTTTAAATGTTATGGAAGCCGATAGAGGCCATGCCTAAAGTATCAGGACATCAGAATTATTTAGCTTTTTTATTTTTTTAAAAGAAATCAATAATTTTGCTGTTGTAATAGCGCTTAGAGATCATAGACATAAATACGTAGACGCGTCACACGCCATTGTGCGCTGGAGAGCGTAACAGCGTTGCCGCCATACTGGGTGGGTTCCTCACTCCCAGCTGGAGTCAGCGCAGTGTGAGAAACTATAACTATATTCTTGTGCTGCCTGCGATTGCAGACACTGGTGTACTGTTGAAAACAGAGCACGTGGGATTACTATTGACTTTTCAAGCCTACCTGTTGGGATTTTAGATTTTAATTTGTTTTTGCTTATTTAATTTAATTATATTTATATTTTGTCACATCATACCATATGTCTGATTGTATGTTAGAGTTTTAACACCTTCCTCAGTAGAGATAAATGCACTGGGGGCGAATGGAAACACGTCCAATATGGCGGCCCGCTGCTACGCCAGCTCCAATAGGCAGTGCCAGCCTACGTCACAACCACAGATATGATGTCTGTGGCTGAGATGGGTTCCTGACTAAATGTTCTGAACAATGAAGGCTAGATTGCACTTCTGCAAACATGCTGTTTGATTTGTAAAGCTGCGAGTATAACTTCTTCTAAATAGAATGCAGTCCTCATTAATACACCTCTGTCCTCCCTACCCCTTTTAGTCAAAATTACTACTGTATAATGCACATTTAGTTTTTATTTTACTTGTTGCAGTTACGTTCTTGAACAGCCTCAGTTTGGAGAACTACAGACTAGACAGTCTGAGTAGGGCCGATTCCGAAATATATTTTCAATCTCAAAACCAAATGAAGCAGTTGTTGCAAAGGCATTTTTGTTTTTCCAAATCTGCAGTTGCTTTGATATTACACAACTGTTTGAACAAATAGGTAGAATTCCAGCTGGAAGTGTTACAGCTCTCCTGATTTCTGATGTCAATAATCATAAAATGTGACATTAAGACACGTAGATGACATAACACATGCTTATGAAATACTGTTAACATAACCTCAATGACACTGGAAGGACTCAAAAGTTATCTATGTTTCTCCAAAAATTAGGCAGTTCAAACCGCCACTTACATCAAATAAGACTGTTTATAGTTATTTTGACCTACGTTTTTTTCTTCTCGTAAATTTAAAATTATTTTAGAATTGTAAGAAAACAAAACAATTTATTGGAGTCCTGGAGAGTCATGCTGGTTCAAGCTGAAAATGTCATGTGAATTTATCAAATACATTTACACGCGTGACGTAATCGGAGTCCTTTAGTGTAACATAAGAACAATTTATTTTTACATCTTATAATTTCATGATTGCAAGAAAAAAAAATCCAAAAACTCTATGAGACCAATTTATTTCAACTGCAAGTTGAAGCTAGCTTGGTTACCTTAGGATAACTAAATAATCAACATCTTGAGGAAATCTCAAATTAGCTAATAACTGCGCTCACAGCTCATCCTGGCTTCTGTACTCATTTTTACTGAACTTCAGTTTTATGCAATAAAGGCCAAACTGTTCATTTGCAAAAGCTTAGGCCAAAGCCGCTTTTCATGAAACTTTTTTTAAAATACACAGTATCTTCATGTTTAAAATGGATTATTTTAACATTTAGCGTAGACAAAAAGTCTTATTATAGTACTTTGTAAAATTAAACACTCTAATCCTCTGTGCTAGAGCCCCCTCACCCCACAGCTTCTGTTTGGCTTCATGCAAAGACCACCAATTTTAACATTCAAAAATAACTAGCGCCATTAAGTGACAAAGATATCGTGTTTTGTGTTTGTAGACCACGTCTCGTTAAGGTAAACTGACAGGCTAGCTGTGCAAATATACAAGCAGAAAAAAAGGGCATTTGTTTAGGAGTAATGACAGCATTTGCTTGCCAGAGTTGTGCAACACTTGCAGTGGTTTATGGACAATCTTTACTGCTGCTTTTAAATCCAAATTAAAGAGAAGCTCGAATGGATTTAGGGAGCAAGATCTACAGCACCTGTAAAATACCGTATCTCCAGCTAAACACACTGCCAAGGTGCAACCCTAAATCAGCCTGCCTATAAAAGTCAAGTGTTAGGTATTTAGCTACTGATTCAAACTGTGGTGATGCTCTCGTGCATCGAACAATCAGTTAACATCCTAATGAATGAAGTTGTGAATTTATGATTTCACAAGGTCCAATATGGATGGATAATGTACGGTGCGGCGGCTCGGAGAGGTCCTTGAAAGACTGCAAACACAACGGCTGGGGGGTGAATGACTGTAAACACTCTGAGGACTTGGGGGTTGTGTGCGCCCCTGAGCACAGGGTGGATCAGCAACCCAGCAGAGGTCACACAACTGCTGCCAGGCCTTCTGTCAGCCAAGCACCTCAATGGGGGGGCATTGTTGCAACCCAGAGGCATCCAGGATACGGGTACTATGGAAATGGACATCCGTATGAGATCCCCAGCTTCCAGAGACCTCACCACTACCAGGTAGTGCCGTTTACTTTTGGAACATCATTATGTTTAGAAAAGCATGAAATCACTGAGAGCGTGTGTTTCCTTCGGAAGGGTCACAGTAAGGTTCGAATTGAAGAGGTCCGTCTTCGTCCAATCCTCATGGCTACCAAGAAGAAGAGCCTTGTCGCAGAGGGTGTGGTGGAAGTGAAGCATGCTGGGAGATGGAGGCAAGTTTGCGACCTGGGCTGGAGTCTCAACAGCAGCCGGGTGGTGTGCGGGATGCTGGGCTTTCCCGAGGCCTCTCAACACAACGCCAAAACATACAAGTAAGCATGAATCTTTTCTGTTTGGCCATAAACACCATTCATGTCAAAAACTCAAGAGTTTTTATTAAAATTAAAGAATTCTTAACTCAGCTCAAAGATCCGGTTGTTAAATGAATAAGAAACACTCCCTGAAACGTGAACGCACCGTTGTAGCATCTTTAGAGCTGGTTTCAGTAAAGGATTTGATTTGGGCTTATCTTTTCCCTGCAGCCACTTCTACCCATGTTCCCCTTTCCACTTCCTCTTTTTCAGCCCTATAGGTGGATGATAAAAGGATTTCCGTTCCTCCCCCATTGCCCTTTCTCTGCACCTCTCTTCTGGCAAATCACCGGTGCACACCTCATTGCCCTTCTCTCACTCCTTCCCCTTCCGTCCTTCTGATACCATCTTCCTCCTGCAGCTCTCAGACAAAATGCAGCATTTTAGCTTTTAGATTCTCATCCTGAGGTGTAAAATCACTACTGATGGTGCTTTTTCTGTCCCACCGACACCATGCATGAGTGAGGTCACCATCGGGCGGTGGAATGAGGGTCTGTGTGCAACAACTAGTCTTGTTGACAGGACAGCCTCTTCAGGAAAAGCTCAGCCATTTTTTTTACACCTGATGTGTAACATAATGCAGTTAGTACTAAAACAATGTGTATTAACATGCTCACTCTGTGTTAAAACACAGCAAGTATAAAAACTTGTTTTATTCTGAAGATATAATTTCATTAAACAACTAAAGGAACCTGTTTCTAGGAAAGTAAAGATGAATATAAATAATTAAGACCTGGCTTATGGTACTTTTTAAAAATTTGAAAATACTTAAACCTAAAAAAAAATAAACCTCTAATTTCAGATGTCCTCAGTTGGTGCTTTTCTTTTTTAATAGGAACCTTAATTAACATGGCTTGTTTGTTTTTTAAGGATTAACAGACTAATTAGTGATCTGCCGATTTTATTTAGTTTGCAAGATATTATGGGTAGGGCTGCCATTAAATGCCAGTTAAAGCAGGTTAAAGTAGTACCCTCTATGGCATAGTGTTGCCTCCAAGCAACAAACCACATATCTGCACCCCACACTGCCCCTTTATTTTTTTTATTTGGTGTGGGATGAATAAAAGTATCACCAGAAATGTACCTGTCCAATAAAAAGAGGGCTGTGGTGCATGTGACCCTTTGTCTGGGCAAGGACGAGTCCTTTCGTGAAGCAGAGTTACATGATTCACACTGCCATAGAATGGTAAATAGCTTTTTGTCATGTTTACATTTGTGTCAGCTTTAGATAAAAAATAAATATTCATGAGCATGAACATGTAAAGAAGCAGTTTTGATTATTTTAAAGGGACTTTTCGGACTTTTGAATTTTGATGCTCGCGATTGCCCCCTCAGGCCAAAAGCGTAATGGCAGCTTCAATAGTAGGCTCGTGCACGAGGCGCGCATGCTGTACGTGCACACTCCTTAACGAAAATAATAGCTGAGACAGTTCCGTGTGTGTGTGTGTGTGTGTGTGTGTGTGTGTGTGTGTGTGTGTGTGTGTGTGTGTGTGTGTGTGTGTGTGTGTGGCCCGAAGGACAGAGGACAGGAGAACGTGCAGCCAATTAGTTAAATAATTTGGTTCTGTACCTTTCTCTTCAGCACAGCCGACAAAGGTTTATGATGGGTCAGTCCTCCTGCACGCTCAGATCATTACCTTCCCTTGCTTGAAAAATTGTTCCAAAATTAAAGTTGAACCCACATCTTCTGTATCTGTGAATTCGATGCCGTTCGGCGAGTCTGAAATAAAAATTTGGGCATCTTACTGTAAAAAAATATATCATTAATGTAAAAAAGAAACTCTAAATAAACTATGTTCACATCCAGAATCGAAACCAGGTCTTCTGCATGTGAATCAGACATCTTACAAGGTGAGCTACACACCATCAAAGTATCTTTAACTTTTATATCCTTGATGACAGCTGAAACAACGTCAAATCAAAGAACGGTTCGGAGCGAAAATGGCTATTTTGTTGCTAATTTGCAGGAAATATCTAGAAGAAAGTAGCTAAGGGTCCTCAGAAATGTAGCTAGGTTCATCACTAGGTGTTGAGAACAGCGACAAAGTCGCTGAGTTGGCACTACCTCTCTCTCTGCCTACTGACAGCAAATGCTACGGGCGATGCCTGAGCATGAACGCGCATGAAGCAGCCTGCTCGACCCGAGCATCTTTCTTTTTCTGTGATTTTACAGAAAAACAGGCAATCACAGTAAAAATGCCAGGGCTCATTCTACAGGACCAGGACATTGCAGGAGAATGTATGAAGAAGAAATTTATTATTTGTATACATGTTTTGGCTGTCAAACTTCCATAATGCCCCTTTAAGACATGCTTTGTTATCATTTATATGTTAATACTATCTGTTTTCATATGTTGCCCCAAGGCAACTCTATGCAATCTCAGACAATACCTTTTGACAGTTCGGATATCTGCTTTGTGACAACATGATTCACTTAGTTTTTTACTTTGCCGTTGAAAAAAATTCTATACATTACAATTACAAACAAAAAGGTCTTTAGTTTAAGAAAGAGAAGAGGAAAATAAAGAGCGACTGGTCAAGATCCGACCAACACTGACCTCAATCCTAAAGGGTGAGAAGCTGGCCATTGATGAACAAATGGCCCCATTCAAGGGAAGGCTGAAGCAACACTTAGCAGCGAAACCAAGAAAGTGGGTTTACAAGATACTCCTCATGACATGGTTCAGATGGTGTGTTGGTAAAATCTCATTTTATGATGGATATATTTTCATGGACGACCAAGTTCCCACAGTATGGGGTGAAACATTTTTTCAGCCCGAAAACCAAAAGTCATGCAGTAGAGCGTTTAAAATGTCCACGTAACGTTGAAGGTGCTTAAAGGTGCGGAACACTGAAAAACCATGTTTAAAATCTTTTTCCAGATTATAATCGGTCACTCTGAGTTTTTCGTGCAGGCTGAGTATGGGAATAGTCTCCTACACCTATCTCCTGTGTTAGCTTCTGATAGAAAAAAGACGGAGAAAGTCGAGGTTTAGAAAAGCCTGACAGACAGGCCTACGTCTCACCGTCACTTAACTTTCATGGACTCACCCATCACGGCTCGCGACGGGGAAGGCTAAGAACGTCTCGCCTAGCAGACGCTAACTGTTAGCATTAGCAACTCCACCACACATCAGAACTCCTTCAGGATTGTTATTTGTGGGGATAAAAGATCAGAGTTGCAAGTTAGTGGTTGCTGAGGCAAGATTTTCAAATATCAGAAAATCAAACTCCAAATCCTGTCGTCTGACGCCCAGCTATGATGTAGCTCACTTCTAGTTCCTGGAAATGGTGCACTGGTGTCTTTAGCCCCCTGAGTATACCATAGCCAATTGAATTTCAAATCTCCTCCTCCCCTTTTTGATGATGTCACACTAAAAACCCCAGCTTTAATGGTCTGATAGCTGCATTTAATACAGCCAACTTTAAACAAGGTAATGTCAGACATGACTTGTAAAAATATACATCAAAGGGAAAAACAGACAAGCAAAACTGCAGCAACAAAAGGAAAAAGTAACAAGGTCAGACATGTTTAAACACTGCAGTGAAACATGTGCTTACTGCCTCCAGAAGTCTTCCGTTGACTCTATGGCAGTGAGGTCCATTTCTTCTGTGCTTGCTGAAAACCTTGATGGTGGTTTGGGGAACAGTTTTACTCTAAAGCCACAGGAGGAGGACCACACATCTAGAGATCTGAAGAATAAGAATGAAAAGTATCTGAACATCGGTGGAATGGAACCCATTTGGGAAGCTGCTGGTCATAGATGACTCCCAGTTCAGTCATTCTTCCTCTTGGCTGGGGTCAACGGGACTGAACTGGTAACTGGCTACGACATCTGCTCCGGTTCCTCACACCAGGGGAAATTAATTCAATCTGGACATTTTACTCCATTGACTTTACAAATGACCTCAATGGAGCACGTTCTGTATTTGGAAGCATTTGTGCATCGCCCTTGAGTTGAGCCGTCTGCCATAAACAAGCATTATTGGGAACAGGGAGAAGCTATAACAAGCTCTGAGTGTGGAAAGAGGAAATCGCGGCATCATATCTTTGGTGATAAAACGGCCTTCATGAGAAAACGCAGTGTTGAACCACGCAGCCCGACTCAGTTCTGAACAGGATCATTTATTATTACAGCTTCCTGCATTGCAGGTGTGAGGCTTTTTGTGTACGTCTGCTGGATTTTCTCTCGCCGTGCAGATTTGACAGCACAGATGCAAAGATATGAAGATGTAAAGCACAGGTATTATTTGAGGGGAGAATAAAAAGTGTGGATCTGTAGGGCTGCAATGTTTTACCTGATATTTGGCTGCTGACCAAGAAGACGGCTCTGACAGAAGAGAATAAAGTTGCTGTAGCTTGAAGGACTTGGATCCAAGCCTGCAGGGAATCTGTTCATGGACTGTTCTTATGTGTGTTTTAAAATTTTCCTCTAAGGTCAAGTAAAAGAAACTTTAATGATCGTGCATTTTCTGCTCTAGTTTTTGAGTCAAGCCACATAAAAGTGACTAAGTCTGGGCAAACTTAAACCGTTATGTTGAAATGTTTTATTCTAAATTATAAGGCTCCTACATGGAGGCGGCCATGACTTTGCATCTTGGTCTGTCTGCCCTGGGTCTGACCTGGTATTTAGTTGAAACCTACACTGGTCTAAATCATCATGGTGTGTTTGCTTCCAAATCTGTACCTGTTTTCTGTCGCTGCACATGCATATTTGCTCTTACTTAATGTGTGCTTTTGCCTTCAGACTGGTTTGGAGAGCACAGATGCCTCAATGTCTTGGATGTTTGTGATGTACTCAACTTTAAACACATTTTCCTGGTATTTGATTCCTTCTTGAAAGCAGCAGGAATCCCTAGAAGTTCTAAATCAGGACGTGGTTGATTATTATCAAGAGCTTTTTGTCCTTCGCGCCTTGGAGCTGATTAGAGGTTTTAGAATATATTTGATTCAACAATAA